ACACACACACACACACACCCACACACATATATATATATATATATATATATATATATATATATATATATATATATATATACACAGATATATGTAGATATATATTTGTATATATACACATTTATCTATATATATTTATATATATGTATATTCCAATTTTTGTATGTGTCTACTTATCCGTATACATTTGTGTTTTTGTGTGTGTACATACAGCATGTTTATATATTCATATTCATATCTATATCTATGTATATATGAGGTATCTCAAAAATATACATCCCTTAGAGAATTTAGGTTATTAAAATCTATTACGGGAAATGTATACCGTACGTGTTAGACACAACAGTTGTTGCTAATAATAGAATATTGATAAGAACCTAAATTATTACAGAAATTGTGTTATTAATAAATGAATAATTGCTAAATAATAAATTATTAACATGCGCCAACTGTTACGAAAGAAGTTCACGTCATCTCTAGCATTATTTAACGACTGTCTTATCATCATGAAGAAACTCGTTCTTCTAGATGAAAAATGCTCCTACAAATTTGAAAGGATTGTTAAACTTTTATCCGCCTGTCAGCCATTTGCAATGAGTGAATGTCAGTGAAAAGAGAGGAAAGACTTACCCTAATTTGACGATTATTACCTATGGCGCAGGAAGAGAGAAAGTCACGATATTCGTGCTAATCAAAAAGCCTGATTACTGTACCCCCTGTGGTAGTATTCCTAGACCTGAAAAAGCTTTTGAACTAGCGAGTCCTCTTGCTGTTCAGTAGACTCTATTCCACATGGGAATCAGAGACTGTTGTCCTGGATAGGTGACTATTTCACCAAAAGAACAGACAAAGTTAGATTCCAAGGTCAACTATCACAGCACATACCACTCGAAAATGTCCTTAGTCCTTCCCTTTTCAACATCCTCATCTCCTGCATCCTCAACATCACCTTCCTGAGGGCTGTGAGATAATTTTCTATGCAGACGATCTTGCAATCATCTCCATTGGTAGACACTGCCTGAATAGAGCCAAGCGTTGTCTGGACCTTGTGTCTTAAGTGTGTTACAGGATGGGTCTACATATTTCAGCAGTAGAAACCAAACCCATGACTCTTAGAATTAATGTCAAAACTACATAACTGGTTGTCCAGAGCATGGATCTAGAATGGGTCAAAGTCTACCAATACCTTGAGGTATGGGTATGTCACACATTGACATTCAAAAAGTAGATCCAATACCTGCTTGACCGAATAAAGGCAAGACTCTTGTCATGAAAGTAATGACCGGGAGACACACAAGAGCGGGACACAAAGTACCAAGATCATTCATTCAATGTACATGCCTTCTGTAGCATACGGACATTTAGTCCTAGGGGGGCCCCACCAACCCAGAGGAGTGCCTTAATGGCCGAGGTCCCTCCCCATGAAGGTCAGGCATCTGTATTGTATGTCCACCCCCTGATGTCAACATCCCCCTTACTACTGCTACAGTCCTAAGGGATATGACCTTGTGAGAGTCACGGCGGGAAATCTTTGCATGTTCCATGATATGTTAGATTAATTGAAATTAAAATAACTAAAAATGCAAGAAGCCAGGAAGAAAAGGAGATAGGCTAGCATAAGAAAAGTAAAAGACGCAGGAGGGTAAAATGAAAGGAGAAACCGTAGTAGAAGACGTAAAAAAGAAATAAAGTCAAGTAGGAGAACCACGAGGCTGCATATGATATGTGAGGTATGTATAGGTACAGTCTTGCACGGTCCAGCTCTATCTATGATGAATACCGTAACTTAGGCTCAATACTTAGCTTTTCTGACTTTTTAGGATCCTTAGCTGGAACTACCGGCCGCTTAGGTATAATCTTCATGTAAATATGTAAAAATGCAAGAGGATGAGGAGAGAAACGCCCTGTGGTACAGTGGAACAGATGTTTTTTTTTAAAGTACAAAGGGGCCGCGGGAGGCCGTGACGTCACGCTCGTGACGTGTAAGATTCTAAATTCTATACATTAAAAATGAAAAATAAAACAATAAAAATAAACATTAAAACACGATAGAAACATTTCATTAAAAGGAATAAAAGGAGGATAAGTAAAACATAAACATATAAACACCGAGCTGACACTCGGCAAGCGCAATTTAACCAGGGGGGATTCTCACACATGCACGCAAGCGCCCGCCACGCGCACACATACACACGCACACATACACACGCACAGGCGCACTGGTACACATACACGCGTGCGCGTGTGCACACCGTTGAGCCTCGTCTAAGGGGGGGAGGGGGAGCCAAGTACAGTGGCACGCTACACTTCCATCCTATTGTCGATTATGCTTCTGAACCCTCATTGCTTCCAAGTCTAGACAAAGAGATGATGACAGGCCAGAACGAAGCAGCGGGGATTATTTTGGGTTTCCCCAGGTGGAAAAAGGTCTTCAACCTCCTTATGGAGGCAAACCTTTTGTTCCTGGATACCCGGGTTGATTTAATGACCGCACAGTTCCTTTCTAAAATCATCCATGCACTCCTGAACACATACATGAGACAAAAAGTACTCAGAAGCCTACAGCAAGACTATGAGTTATTTGCTGACAACTCTTAGGTCACACACACAGCCAGGGTATTAATACGCTTTCACCTCAAAGACCAACTACTTGCCAAGGGCATTAGTCCTGGAGCCAAGGGGTATTTTAGGGGTAGAGAGGGCCCATAAATCACTCACTTGATTTTTGTAGGGGGTCTCCTGAAACACCTTTTTAGCGAGGGTGAAACCCGGAAGTAATGGAACTATTCAGTGACTACTCAAACCTAAAGTCAAGGTTATCAAAGGTGAATCAATGGTGAAATTTAACACTAGTCTCAAATATAGGGCCTTTTGGTTTGGGCATTATACCTGAAATGTATTCTTAAATATTTGTGTGTTAATAAAGGGCAGATACCAAGAAACTAGTATGAACCTGTACTGAAATACATTAAAATGCTTTAACTGGTCATTGTTTTCAGCTTCCCGATCTTCGATTGAAATGATAAATTCTGCTAATGTTTTTTTTTTTTTTTAAATCTTGTTTGCTATTTGCAATGGTGCAAATGACCATTCATAATTTATTTGGCAGGGATGTAGCTAATGGTAGGGGTGGGGCAGGAGGCACATGCCCCCCGGGCGTTACGAAAAATGTGTATTTCATGCAAGTATTGGCCAAAAATTAGCAAAATTACTCCAAATGATCTATTATACCCCCCTCACCAAAAAGAACTAGCTATGCCTTTGTTTAAAATACTGCAACACATTTTTGTTTAAGAGATCATGCTCAAGGAACTGCTCAAGCAAAACCAAAAAAATTATAAGCAGCAACTAGAGACTCAGAAAATCAGCGATCATGGGAGCCCAAGACCATGCGTCCCTAAGGAAAGGACACGTGGTCATACATGCACTCTAGATCAGCTACTGACTGTCAACAGAACGGGTTTTGTTGACAACAAGCCAGAGGCCTGCAATCCAGGCCTCTGGTTATTTTTATTGGAGAAACTGCTTTGTTTTCCGGGTATTTATTGCTTAACACCAACCCATTTACTGCTAGGCGGGTAGATCCAAGGTCATCAGAAGCAATTATCATTCACTGACGGCCATGATATTGACAGTTCATGTTATCTCATGTTATAAAACATGAATAGTTGGGAACATTAGAAGGAATTACTATTTATTACATGCATGGTGGAGTCATTAGAAGCCAATATCAACCTATAAGGGTCCTCATAATTGCAAGGTACTATTACGTCACTGTAAACGTAAGAGATTGGGCTTATAGTAGGTGAAATGAAAGGAATTTTGGCTGGAGGGGTTATTGGGGAGGTATATGTGAGACCCCACGAGAGACCCGTACCCCGGGTGCCGAGGGCGATTGAAAGGACGTGCTATTATGCAGCTGTTCCTTGCGAGGGTGTTTTTTTCTTGCTTAAGATAGTGTCAACAGAGAAAGAGTGAACACCTATGTCCGCTGAAGGAGCAAGGCAGCTGTCGGGGCCTAGGTGCGAAGGAGGAAACCATCCGACCTTGAGCACATTGTTGACAGACATAACTAGGTCATAACAGAAAGTAATTATCTTATTACAGGAAAGCGGGGTGAGCCATTCTGTCCTACTTAACAAAACTTATATATACTTATATATAATATATCTATACATATATATACATATATATATATATATATATATATATATATATATATATATATATATATATCATACACATACGTTCATATATACAAACATATGTATGAATATATATCCATATATCTTTATATACATACACATATATCTGTCTATGTATATGTATGTATTTATACATATATATATTTGTAGTCATATACTTGTGTGTATGTGTGTGAGTGTAAATATAAGAGTGCGCGTGTGTGTATGTGTGTATGTGTCTGTAGATAGATACGCACACACACACGCATATATATATATTAATATATATATATATATATATAATATATATATATAATATATATATATATATATATATATATATATATATATATAATGTAGTGTGTGTGTGTGTGTGCATGTATGTATATATACGTGTCTGTGTGAGTGTGTGTGTGTGTGTGTGTGTGTGTGTGTGTGTGTGTAAAGAAGAATGTATATATAGATAGATGAATCTACATATATGTATTTATGTATACACATATATGTGTGTGTATATTTACATAGATACATAGTTATACATACATGTATACATGCATATATATGTATATATATATATATATATATATATATATATATATACACCTATACATATGTAAGTGTGTGTGTGAGTGTGTGTGTGTGTGTGTGTGTGTGTGTGTGTGTGAGAGAGAGAGAGAGAGAGAGAGAGAGAGAGAGAGAGAGAGAGAGAGAGAGAGAGAAGAGAGAGAGAGAGAGAGAAAGAGAGAAAGAGAGAAAGAGAGAGAGAGAGAGAGAGAGAGAGAGAGAGAGAGAGAGAGAGAGAGAGAGGGAAGAGAGAGA